ACTCATTTTTTATTTTTTTTTTGAGTTTCCTCCCTTTCTATTGCAAAGGCCCCATTTGTAAAAGTTTTAATAATAGAAAAGTTTTATTAAATTATTTTGAGATTTATATATATTTATTTAAGGTAAAATTATTAATAAAAAATATATGATAAATTTTTTAAATTCATATTCTTTTTTTTTCTTTATTAAATAATTTATCAAATTTATAAAATTCATATATATTTTAAAAAAATAGAATAAAGTTATAATTCTATTTTATTACAATTTAATATTTATAATATAAATTAAATAAACTTTATATTTATTTATTTAATATTAATAATTATAATTTAACTAAAATAAATCAAAATCAATTTCTTTATTTAATTATTTTAAAAATTTAATTAAATAATAATATTTTTATAATTTAAATAAAAACAGATATAATAGAATTAAATATGTCTATTATCTTATTAAAATATTTATCTATTACAAAAATTTGATATATTAGCTTAAATAAATTTTTTAATAAAACTTACATTTAAATTATAGTGTAATTACTCATACTCAATTTTTACAAATTATTAATAATTTATGAGTTCAATAGCTTTAATAAAGCTTATATTTTCTTAATATATTATTGTTATTAATTATTAAAAGAATTTGTTTTACAAATTAATTTTTTGTTTAAGAATCTACATAATTATTATTACTTTTATTCTTCTTTAATATTTATTTCTTAAGTTATATTTAATAATATGTTAAAATATTCTTTAATATATTTTTTCATAATTTTTTATTTATTTTTCTCTTAATAAATTTTTATTGTCATATATTTTTTCATTCTTTATTAAATATATTTCTTCTCATTGTTATTATTTTTTATTTGTATTTCTTCTAATATTCTATAGTAATATTATATTTCTGCTTTTTTATTTATTGTTTTTCTATAATTCTTTATTATTTTTTTTTATCTTTATTCATCTTTATAATTAGTTGCAATAATGATATTGATTAAGATTTAGATCAATTACTTTTGAATTTACTAATTTTGATTATTTAAATAATGAAAGTAAGAAAGTAAAACATATTATTATCAATATTCTTAGTTTTATTTATTTATATTTCTTTAAATATATTTTTTTATTTGTATCCTTTAAACCCTCTGTCTAATTATTTTAAGTTTTTTTTTTTTTTAAGAAAATGTTTAGTGATTAGACATAAAGTTCTAAGATAAATACCTATAATCAGTAAGTATAACAAGGCATAATGTATGAGTTATATGTTTGTTCTAAGGAAAGTATCCCCTATACAAGTTATAGCAAATTTCTGAATCAATATTGATAGAGTTTAATGAAGTTCTACCTCAGATTAAAGTAGATTATTTAATACAGTAATGACAACTAAAAAAAAGAGAATTTATACTGGTATTATTACAGTAGAGCATATGAGGACGAATTAGCCATATTGGCTAAAGATTATCTTGCAATTACAGGTAAAACAAAAAAATTATCGATTATTAAACATTAATTAATACATTTTTTTTTATAAAGCAACAAGTATTCCAGAAGAACAAGTTTTTTTCTGGCGAAACTTATCTAATATTAACCAAAAGATATGGTCTTAAAGCTAATAAAATTCGCGCCTGTATGTGTTGAAATCCTTGTGGAAAAAGATGTAAAAAAAAAGAATTAGGATTAATGAATAATAAATTTTAAATTTTATATGACACTCTTATTTTCGGCATTAATATTACCCTTAAAAATTCGAGTTAATCAGGTCGAGTCAATTCGGGTTCTGTAATTATTAACGAGTATTTAATTTATTTTTTTTTTAATGATGTTTTTTTTAATTTAATCGGATATACTTTAAACCCGATGACCCTTAGAACACCTTTATATGCCAAGTATTTAACATATATATCTAACTTTTTGTTTTTTTGTATTTTTAATTAATCTATTTAGTTGTAATTTATCTGTTATCCGAGCATGTTTTTACTATTAAAAAAAAAATATAAAAACATTTGTCAAGTTCAGTATTTGAAAAGTTCTTTAATTTTATCAAAATTTTCTTATTTCTATTTGATATGTTCACTTTATTTTATTAATATAAATTCATTAATTGATATCTTGTATCTTGTGACTTTGAAATTAACTGTAACTCTGGCTTGTGCTATCATTCTAATCATTATTTATATATAGAAGTAATTAGCACAAATTTTAGTGGTGGCTTACTATTTTGATATGATTAAGCCGTTCGCATTATAAATATTGTTTGAAAGAAAATTTAGGAATCTAATTTATTGGCCTTCCTTTAATGTAAGCAGATAGCTCATATTTCAAACCTTGTTTAATTTTTGATCTGAAGAAATATCATAGGAAAAGAATCCTGGAAATTTCAGATAGGAATTATTTTAGAAGAGATAACACTTAGCAAACCTCTTTTGACTATGCTTCATAAGATGATATTTTCTTTTTGCTGGTACGAAATTCTAGCTCTATGTTAAGCTTTTAACAACAATATCTATCTTTCCAACTCCTCGATTTTAGTCTTAGACTTGGTCTAATTAATTATCGAAACTTCACATATTTAATCATGATTCTAAGGAAGTTAAAAAATTACGTAATATATATAATTTTTGATCTTATATTTGCATAAAAAAACACATCTAGGATCTTGCATATGAGGGCTTGGTTTATTTATACCGATAAGCAGGTTATGACCAAAATCCATGAGGAACTGCTCAAAGTTCCGAAGATCAAGATTTTTCACTCTTTATTTCACATTCATTTTTACAGAAAGTACACAAGATGAGGCAGCAAATTATGCACCGAAAAATACGCTGGTTCACTGTATCTACATACGGTGTATTGTGAATGGAACCTTTTCTTAACCTGTCTACGCTATAATGAAACCATTGGATTGCAACGTCATAGACTGCACAAAAATATATAATAATTAAAGCGCGGACTCGCTATACTTCAAAGGTACCCATTATTTCTCGACAAGTCTCACAATTACGCATCTAATTATGTCAATTATTCTGAATTTCTTTCGACCCACTTTAAGTAAATACTATAATAAGTTGAATAGATTATCGCCATATATAATGTAACTCATCGACACAATCTTTCGTTTTAAATAACGTTTCGTATATCCGGTTTTCATCGAAAAATTTCTGTTATATCATGAATATAATACGGGGGTTATAGCTAGAAGAATAGTTCAACGTTGAAACATAACAATGGTTGGCATGGTAGTACCAATGGTTCCACCAATGGTTATTTATAACATTCAGGATTCTCAGTATTAGCGTTCGTCAACGAGATTTTCATAAATTTACGCAAATTCTAATATAAAAAGAAAATTGATCAAAATCATGCTGCTTTATGATCCCACTTATAGATCAGCAGAATTCTACTGTATTGTCCTTGCTAAAAATAATTCCTTGTCTTTAATTTTTGGGCTCAGGTTGTGAAACAGGAAATTTGACTTTGTTATTTCATCAAAGTCTTTGTTGAACTCTGTTAATCAATATATAATGTGTTCATCAATTCGGAAAAATTTTTTCACGAAAAAAAATCCAGTAAAGTTCAAAACCAAAAACGGGTAACTAAAAATCCAACAAACTTAAATTCTACTTGATCATCAATGATGAAACTGTACGTTATGATGTTTCAACATAAACAAAATAAACAAAACCCCTCAAATATATATATGTTTTTTTGTTTCATCGTTATTATGTAAATTGTATATAAAATGTCTTTATTCCATAACATGAAATTTCAAGAAAAATTATCTGGAATAACTTTTTCTTCAATATTTCCTTTTTTTCTTTTTTTTCTTTTTTATATGTTGAAAATATATATTTCTTATTAACATTATAAATTATTCATCATCTTTTTATTAAAATAATTAACCATGTTATTTAAAAACAATATACAAGTTGAATCTCCTTCCGATGCTTTACATGTTAAATATGATCATCTCTCCATCGAAGACGATTTACAAGTTCAATGTGAAGAATTCTTGTCAACCGAAGGCACTTTACAAGTTGAATATGAGCCAACAAAAATCACTTCACAAGTTGAATGTGAAGAATTTATGCCAAAACAAAGTACTTTGCAACCTAAATGTAAAGAACCTGTAATTAAGCATAAAAATGGTTTAAAATATATTCCCGCAGTCGACTTGCACTTACATAGATTTCAATCTGCGAAAAATCTAATTATAGATACAATCAAAACATCTTATTCAGCCGAAGTATCGAGTATAAGATTCATAACAGGACGAGGAAATCATGTCAATACAAATGGAGAACGAGGTGTTCTTTTTCAAAATTTTCCAACAATGATATCAGCGAAAAGGGTCAGTAGTTTCGTCAAAGGTTGTATACAACATGATGGTTCTTTTACCGTACTTCTTAAACCATCCAATAAACCAACATCACGTAACACAGTCTTTAATGTAGATATGATTAAAGAAGCCGCCTCAAATGGTGATATGGTGGCTCAACACATTCTCGGATTAATGTATATCGATGGTAGTATTAAAAGAGATGTTAAAAAAGCTTTACAATGGTTAACAAAATCTGCAAAACAAGGTGATATCAAATCCCAATTATTGATTGGACAATTATATTTTGATGGATCTGAAATTGATGAAAATAGAAAAACAAAATATGAAAAAGCTTTTAAATGGTTTAACGAAGCGGCTAAACAAGGTGACATTAATGCTCGATTAATAGTTGGATACTTGTTACACGAAGGAAAATGCGTTCCTAAAAACGAAAAAGAAGCTTTTAAATTGTTTGAGAAAGTTGCTGAAGAGACTGGTATTAATGCCCAATTAAGCATTGGATGTTTATTATTTGAAGGAAAAGGTGTCACTAAAGATATTAAAGAAGCTTTTAAATGGTTTAGTAAAGCAGCTGAACAAAATGATATTGAGGCCCAATTCGTTCTCGGATTAATGTATTTTTATGGTGAAGGTGTTGAAAAAGGTGTTGGAAAAGCTTTAGAATGGTTAATAAAATCAGGTGAAAAAGGACACACCAAATCTCAATTACTTGTTGGACAAATCTATTCTGATGGAATTGGAGTTAACGTGAAGAAGAAAGATAAAAAAGCATTTAAATGGTTTAGTAAAGCGGCACAACAAGGAGATGTTAACGCTCAATTAACGGTTGGTCGTTTATTATACGAAGGAAAAGGTGTTGTTAAAAATGATGAAGAAGCTTTTAAATGGATTGAAAAAGCAGCTGAACAAGGTGAAGTTAACGCTCAATTAAGCATCGGATATTTATTATGCGAAGGGTATGGTGTTGAGAAAAATGATCAAAAAGCTTTTAAATGGTTTAAAAAAGCCGCGGAACAGGATAATATTGATGCTCAATTAATCGTTGGACATTTATTATATGAAGGAAAAGGTGTTGTTAAAAATAACATGGAATCATTTATTTGGTTTAAAAAAGCTGCTAATCAAGGTCATGTTGATGCACAAATTATTGTTAGTAGAATGTTGTCTAATGGTGTAGGAGTTCATCAAAATATTGCAAAGGCATTTAGATGGATTCAAATTGCTGCTGAACAAGGCAATTTAGAAGCACAATTTAAACTCGGACAATTGTATATTAAAGGCGAAGGAACAAAAAGAGATATCAATAAAGCATTAGAATTATTTGAAAAGGCTGCTGAACGTGGACATCTCGAAGCTGGAATTATTTCTGAAATTTCAAAACTTGTAAAATAATATTAGTTGAAACTAAATGTACTTGCATAAATAAAATGTATGATGTAAATTACCAATTAAATTTCATTTTATAACTTTATTTTATCAAATCAATGTCTACCAAACATTTACAAATCTTTATTCAGATAATACCATAATACTTTTCTTGTTTACATTATTATCTAAATCTATTCTATTATCGACTTTTTCATCCTAATAAGAATAAATTGATCGAAAACTACGTTTATATAGCTTATCAAATTTTATAAGGTAATATACTTGAAAATTCGGGTCATGACGAGCCCCTAAAAAAATTTTTAACATTATTATATAGAAAAAAAAAATCCGTAAATTACCTTCTTAAAATGGAAGGTTAGGAATATTTTTTTTTTAATAAATTCACAAATTATTTTTTTTAGGTGTTAATAAAAAAAATATTACATGTGAAATACCTCCTAAGCCTCGATATTACGCTGAATTTTTTGAACTTTTTCAGAGAAAAAAAAATTAAGGCGATGGCTTTGCCTCTTTTCTAATTCTAGGTGATGGTGTGATGAATAGTGATGGCGATGATGGTGATGTTTTATTCCATAAGTTCTGAACTTTCTTAACGCTTATGAAAAATAAAATTAGGTGAGAGATAGAAAAATAAGAATAGATGACGAATGCAAGAATATATTTTTTTATTTATAAGTTTTTGCGCCGCGTCACGTTAATATTATGCAATGTTATAAAAATATATATAGAATTTTCTTTTTTCGACTTTTAGGTTTATTAAAGGATAGGGCATGTGCGGAAGACGATTTCCCTCAAAGAAAAAAGATAGAATAGAGGAATATCGTTCGAAAAAATAAGCATGTATAATAGTCCGCAAGTATAGCATAGTAACATCGTTATGTATCACCGATCCTTTATATTTATTTTAAGCATGTATTAATAAAGATTTTCGCGCACGTGATTTTTATTTTAAATACTTTGCCAAGGTTTTATAGATTGAATTATTATAAAAAGCCAAAGAGAGCAAAGAAACAATTGATGCAAGGACTCGTATTATATGGCCTAGGATCCGCGCGCTCCCTCCCTTAAAAACATATATTTCATTTATTTCTTTGTATTAAAATATTATACTCTATTCTGGAAAAAGTTGCAGACTTTAAAAATTATTATCACATGAAATCGTTACAGTTAAAACTATGAAATTATTCTATCCCTATTATTATTACGCAAAGAAATGCAAGAACGTTGATTGGAGCAGAAATTAACTTTCCACTAATTAATATTTTTTTATGACCTTAATTTTTTTCTTTGCTTGTCCATCTATATTGACTTGATTATATAGATCATCTTCATCATCGTATGGCCTTTTGCTAAGTATTTCACGCGCAGTTGCAGGTCCTATACCTTTAATTGTTCTTAATTCGTAACCTTCAGCAGTATTGACATCCATTTTGTCGTTTGCTAAGTGAAAAAGAACAAAATGTTACATAACAATACAAAGATATCTTAAAATTAAAAGTTATTGTTAGCTCATACCTGCAGAAAATTCAGCACGACTAGATCAAAATTTTCACAATGTACGACAAGGCAATTTTCTTGTAATTCGTCCAACACATCTAATGTCTTATGTCTATTTATACATATGAAGAGCATCCAATTCCTAATCTCAGGAATATTTTTTATTTAACTCTTTAAATCCGGCTTCTGTTCTCCATCTATCATCGACTTGTCTAAGGTTTGAGGTTGATTAGCTTCGGGATTTGAAGACTTCACTTGAATCGCAAAAAGGCAATTATTCAGAAAAAAGAAAATATCCCAAGGAGCATTTAGACCGTTCTTATACACAGTACCAAACGACAAGTATTCTTGTTGTACGGTATAAAGATATCGGTATTTAAGTTCATGGTATTTAATAGAATCTGCATCGGGAAGAACAAAATTGTGATCTACATCCTCTAAAAACAAAAATCATCAATTATGTGCACCACGAAGAGATCTTGAGTTGTCACATTTCTACTCAATATTGAAAAATGTCGAAGACGTAAAGCCCAAAATCGCATGTTGAAATCTTCGAAGTCCTGCCACAAAACATGCGATTTTTGGTCAATCATGACATCCCAAAATTAACAGATTCGTTATATGACTAGCATGCGAACATCAAAAAGGTTTTTATGTGCTGGTTCCAAATATATGATGAGAAATCAACATAAATTAAATTCTCGACTTTATCATATTCTTCCACAGAGATGTTAATTAAGTATTGCATATGCTAATGCTGGTGTTATAGCAGTTGAGAATTCTGACATCTGATATTATATTTATATAATTTACTTTATCTGTTTTGTCTTACAACGTTAGAACGTACCCTTATTGATGTAATCTCCTAGATTATGATTACGTTCAGAACGAGCAACAAATTCGCTAATGCTCCATACCTCCTGATCCCGAAGAAGGCGAAGTGGTAGGGGTAAATAAAGGTAACTCGATTCTCTGAACATTGATGCAAGAGGACCTTGAATTATTCCAGCCAAGGTCGGTACATAGAATATATCTCCACCAGAGCAACTTTTACTGGCCCTAACGTCATTCACAAATAAACGGACTGGATTTAATTTAGAATCCAAATCCTTATCATACAAATTGAGCAAAGCGTTTAGTTCTTCAATGCCGAGACAACACATTTAATATGATGATCTTCATCCTTATCATTATCATTGTTAACATCTTTGAGAACAACATTTAATGCTTGGCTAATTGAAAAATCACGAATTCCATTCGCTAAGCACATCCTCCTAAAGTCTTCAAATATACATGATCCACCAGAAATAAATGCGCATAGATTATTCGCATTGCAACTGATGTTGAAACAATCGCCAAATCTTCCAGATTACCATTGCTAAAAGTAACATTGATTGTGTATATCTGACGATTTTATTACTCGTATATTCTTTAGTTTGATCGCGTAATAATTTTCAGCAAGTTCACGTAATAAAGTTGGAATTTCTTGGAGGAATCGGCTCTTCCCAGTACCTGGCCCATTAGCCTATATTAGGACAGGGTGGTTGTTTCGGTCTGGTTCCTTGCGTTTTGTAAATCTGTGGCTAATTCCATTTCGATTTCCATTGCCTTCCATTAATATTTCCAGTCTTCTCTCGATCTTGTAGAGGAAAGTCGGCACCTGTTATACTCACCAACTGATAAAATATGTAAAATAGCGCGCAATCAGAATCAGAAAAAACAGGACAACAGGTTGAAAACAAAACATACTTTAGGTACTGAAACTGTGGTGGGATATTTAGTTAATGCAAATTTCTAAGAGGTAAAACATCGGGAGACACTTACCAGTGGTGGGAACTATGAAAAAATGAAGATATCCGGCCTCTGGCCTTTTGTCGTCGTCAGCATTATCATAATATGTATTAAAATTCAACATAGGATATCAATCTTTTCGTTATCGTCAAGATTTTTAATATCATCTTCGGTAGAAATGTCTTTAATTTCATATGAAAGCCGAGTTTGACTTTCAAGACATTCATTTCGGTTATTCCACTTTTTTCAGATAGAGCTTCCTTGAATTCTCCGACAAATTCTCTGGGTATTTGTTACGTAATATTTAGGTCATACGAGTGGTCGTATTTGACTAATTGAAAATAAATTAATAAAGCGCAGTAACGCTCTATATGGGTAACTCAGGGAATACAAAATTTTCTCTGATTACTATATCTAATCTGTTAAAATCAAAATGTTCCTAGTCGCGTAGAATTGTTATATTTGGTATATTTGGTAAGATCAAATAGTGCTACATAGGATGTTTATTCCTTGCATGATCATGAATAACACGTGTCTTAAAACCACTAATTAATATTGTGATTTGAAATTAAAAAACTGTAAGATTAACGTAACTTCACTTAGGAAATTTGTCTTAGTCAAAATTAGTTAGACCCTGAAATGGGGTAATCGGAATCTTCCCTACTAATGTATTCTTTAATCTTCCCTGACCAATGTCTCACCTGGGCATATTATCTTCTGGTCAAATTGTCCTTACAAATATTTAATATATTTATATACGATGGTTTTCTTGGGGTATTATGCAAGCTTTCTTTTAATTTTTTTTCTTTATTCAACACATTCCTTCCCTTTCCTTTTTATTCTTTATGATTATATTTCCCTTCCGATAAATTTATTTTATTATTTTATTTGTTTCTAAGGTTGCCGGGCAAAATCCGGAGGTTTCGACAGGCATCGAAATCGAAACCCGTCGAAACCTGTCGAAATCCGTCGAAACCCTGTCATCGAAACCCATCGAAACCTATCGAAATCGAAAGTTTCGACTTCTGTCAAAATGGGATTTGGGTTTTGCCCCACAATCTTATTTGTTTCTTTTGTAATTAATTAGTATTTAGTATTTTGCGTCAAATTTCGGAAGTGTGGATCGCCGATGTTGAGGCAACACTTGATAAATTGATTTTATAAAATATTTTTTACATCATATTTGTAAAATTCTTTATGCTGTAATATAAACGTAAATGCAAGTTTGCAGATCCCTCTGTGTAATATAAAATTATGACCATTCCCCCATCTGAGAGTATTAGAAGTATTTTAATTTTGTTAATAATGACGAAGCCGACTAAACCGTTCGATGATGAATTCCGTTTGCTCACCGATGTAGTGGTCCTGTTTGGATACCAGCTGTTACATGTCAACAAAGATGAGCTACTGCCACAGGCTCTTGTATGTTTCATTAATTCAAAACTTATACTTTATCACTAAGCAACTCACTATTAACATCTCGTTATTATGCTGCCGTTCCTTTCAAATTATTTATCATAGAAATACTTGAATTCCGACGCACTACCGTTGTCACCAGTAGAGTTGGTTTCAGCGCCGAACAGTGATATCGTAACATTAAGCATCGGAAAATTGAACAACATCATCAATAATTTGGCGCAAAATGCTGATAAAATGTTTCAACAATCAATTGACCAACTAAAAGCGTTATTACGAATGGACGCTGGATGGCAGATCAAATTGCCCAACGGGAAAGTATTGACCATTTTCAGCCCAACCAAGGATTATAAGCACTCAAAAGCGTGGCAACAGTCGGTGGTACGGCAGATCAACGCGCTCGTCGAGTATACACGAAGCAATTTGAAGGTAATAATGAATATTACTTAAAAGAACTTGTTGTGCGTTCCTCATGACTGATCATTCACCTGAATTCAGTCACCGCATGTACTTGCAATCGTCCTGTTGCTAGTATTGGTTACCTATTCAGTGACTGATCTGTATCAAATTTACAATGAGTGCAAGATTATGGAAAACCTGTCTAAGAATGAAAAGGAGGATTTCTTTAATTGTCTCAACGACATTGTTAAGGTTCTGACTAAAATTTGTGATGATCTTAATAATAGAAATATTGGTCGTTTTTATGGTAAGCAAAGAAGTTTTCTGGTATCGTACTAGTCTTTCGATAATGACGTGCTTCACTTCCGTCGTAGAACTTTTACAAACCTTGATTAGAAAGACAACAAACCTTACCAAAAAGATTGACAAATCGAAAGTGGAAATCGAGAAGAGGATCAGAGAATTGCAAAAGGAAGAGTCTGATCGTACTGTCTTGCGAAATATATGTGCAGTGTAAATAAAAACATTTGAAATATTTTATGGATTCTGTGATGTTTTCACCGTTTTTGTTTCATCGATATGAAATTTCTGTCATAGGGCCAGCGGAATCTCTTTTGGCGCCACATACTTTTTTTTGGAATACGTTTAACATGGTAGAAGTAAGCTACACTTTGATATACCAATTTGTTTTGCCAAATCATTATATTATTAACTTACAACCATTTTATTCTGTCAGCGGGCAGTCGGAATATTTAGTGGTACAACCACTGCGGGTGCTGCAATCATCTTGACCATTTCGGCGAATAAGCTGACTCAGATACAAGCTAAACAGAAAGAAGTTTTGAATAATATAACGAACTTAAATAAGAAACTTTTAGATATCCTTGAAGAAGTAAAGTGCCTAAAATACGAACCTATTAATCATGAGGTTCTCCGCATCCAATTTGATGGATACAAGGAGAGCTTACAGGAATTCCAGACACTATTTAAATGATGGAAATCGATGCATATGTTGATTAAGTCAACTAATTTATTCCTTTTCGTTGAACAAATTGTTTGTTAGTATGAAATGCATACTGTATTTTCTTTTTCTACATATTTTTTATATCAGTCTGAGCTAAAGCATGTATGAGTATATTTGCAAACTTTTATTGTATTTCAAACATTTGTCAAAGAGATGCGATAAATAAAATAAAAACAAGATCCATTTTCCTCATTTACTAACTTCACGTATCAAAAAATATTCCAATAAAATTTGTTAAAAAATCAATTCAATTCAAAAAAAAAAAAAAAAAATGATATTATACGAATGTCTTTTCCCATGTCAAGGACATTCGTTCACAGCTTAATAATCTTCATATTATTAAATATAAATTCGCACTCTTAATATTAACAATTTATCGATACAGTGACTATTGCTATGGAGGTTAATTATAAATAAATAAACTTTTGGTCAAAAAGGTTGGATCTAAAAGATATTGGGAATTTCGCAGTAATAATTGACGACAGATTTTTTAAGTTAATTATAATTTCTTTGATAAAATTAAAATGTTTTATTTAATATTGGTAAAATCAAATCATTTTCAAAGAATGTAAATAAAATAATTTAAAATTATATTACTTAAAAAAAAATAACTTATGCAGAATTTAATCTTAATTCTCTAATTTTTATTATGTTTTTCTAATTTATTTAAGATAAGTTTATTTTAATTAAAAATAAAAAAAAATTGTTCACTAACCATTGACTCGAGCTTTGGTTTTCAATTCCTTAATTTTACGTTTTCTTGAAGAATTTTCAGTCGAAATAAATGCATTTAATGGTCTACTAGTATATATTGCATTTGGATGCAGAGTATTCTTTGGAGTGTCAATATCGAATTCATATTCTTTCGAGATATATTCTAAAATAAATATACAAAAATGAGAATGAGATACTGATAGAAAAACGGCAAGTTAATAACAATTTTCACAGTTTTTCAATAACAAATATTCATACCTTGTCTCAAACTTATAGTTGAATTCATAGATAAAGATCTAGAAATTAAATAAATTGCTTTTGGATGTCTTTTGACAAGTCTAGGATAATATTTATTAGACGAATTAGCAGATTACTTTAAGGAAGGGATGGGTGATACAACGTTAATTACGTGTGGCTTTTAGTTGGAGAAACGAGTCATACATCACTATCCCAATACTTTTTTTCCTCGCTCTCGTTTTAATTAAATGTATTCTTTTCTAATGTAAAAAATTTTTTTTTTCGTTTAGTGCTAATGAAAAAAATTTTCTTATTTAGATATTTCTCTCTTCAGTGTATATGTTTCAGATGTAATATTTGTAATTTGTTATGCAAAAAAAAAAATTAATTTTTATGTTGGAGGAGTTGTGATTATTCTTGTAAACTTACAAACTAGTTTTTAACGACGCTTGAGTGATTGCTTTTTTCTCGCGAACCATTTATATAATATATACAAACATTTTAATTCGTAGTAAGAACCGACTTACAATCTCTTTGTATGTTTACATGTAAAGAACAGTATCATTCACCTCCTTTAGATCTTAATGGGTATACCCAATTTTCATATTCGTCATTAAAGAGTTCTTCACAACATGTGAGAGACAATTTAACCTGCTTATTACATAACATTTTTTTGTCGATTACAATATCTTGAACTTTTTCTTAACATACAAAATTCTTGTATAACGAAGAATTCCAACTAATCTTGATAACATATTTTTATCCGATTTTTACTTCTTTCATTTCCAAATGCACTTCTATAAGAAAATATAAATAATCACATTAATTGCAAAGTAGAAACGGTTGATTTGAACATACATCCCAAGTGCTTTTACAAATTCATAATGGTACCAAAATTAATATGAAAACATATTTATTATAAGATGTATAAATTATTATACCATCTGAATCTTGTTGACAAGAACTCGGTTTATCTTGTGTAGACAACATATTAATGGGAGCCTTGTCTGTTTCAAAACTCTACATAATATATATAAATTAGAGTTTCTGCATTAGATCAGAAAGTAACTTTTTTATTACGAATTGTAGGTTACACATAATCACATTTTTAAAAACCAAAACTATGTATATGAGAAAAAGTAGATAAATACATTGTTATAGCGGAAGTTATACAATAATATAGAAACGCTTTATAATGTTTTCCTCTAAAAGTTAGCTCGAGTTGAATGAAGAACCAGAAGAACCAAAAGGAGCTGACAGACAGACTTGTAGATTATTTGGTTGGAATCAAAAAGGAATTTCTTGAACGACTTGATGATGGTTATTTATAATGAAATAAATACATCAAATAAATACACATATTTTAGAATTCGTGGCGTAGAAAGCATCGCATGTATAAATTTGGCGTTATTTTTAGAACTTAAAATTGATCAAATTGATACGTATTTAAGTTATTTTTATAAAATTAATTTTTTTTTAAACAAATCAGCTTAAATCAAAGAATCTATCCATTTTTTTTTAAAATTGATTATAAATATTTGATTGTATTCCTTAAAATTATTTTAAACATTAATTCTTCGAGATAAAAATAAATTTGTCATTTTTTAAATTCCTCTATTGTGTTGATTCGCTTCGCCCCAACTTTTTTATATTTAGAATAAAAATATTTATTTTAATCTGTTTCGCAAGTTTTGTCTTAAATTGATCGAGCGTGGAGCATTAAATTAAAAAAAAACTTTAACAGATACGATATTTTTAAGAAATAATAAAGAATTATTATTTCCTTTATAACAATGATTGATTATAATAATGATTTTTAAGAAGTTTCCATACTTCATTATAAAGAAAAAAAAAACTATTTAAACACAATGAATTCGCTTCATCTCCAACTTCACTCTTAGTTCATCTCAGAGTAACATAAAAACAAATCAACTTTTTTATAAAAATACATCTTCGAAATTCAAACAAAAATGAAAACATATACCTCGATTCTCTTTTACTTCTTTGTTGTCTTTATGGCAATGTTTGTTCACGCTCAGGTTCAGGATCAGGATCAGGCTCAGAATTTTGGTTGCAAAATTAAAGTTTACCGACCTAAGCAAGGAGCCGTTTATTCATTTTTTAGCAGACAATACATTGAATATGCTGTTAGTGGTGGTTGCATGACAGGTTCATATAAATAATTTTGAGATTTTATTTTATTTTTGTAATTTCACTTGCTAATAATCTTTTTTTTTTTTTTGTATGAATTAATAAAAGATGGAAATGACAGAGTTAATGTCGGTGTCATTAGCCGTACCACAGGCAACAAAGTTTATGATGTTGTTAAAAATGGAAATGTAAGTGAGAAGAACCTTGCTCGTTCGCTAGATTTTTTGAAATTCTAATTAAATTTGATCATTTTTTTTTCTTTTTAATAATTGCAGCTGATTAATACACCTAGAAAACTTCGATTCAGAATCGATCCAATTTGGGCAACAGACGGCAGCAAATATTATATTAAGGTCACTGTCAATAGACGTAATAGCGCGATATCTGGAGATTTTACCACCGTCGAAGAGCCTTAATATATATATAGAGTACTTTATTAGAAGATTTACGTTTTAAATTTTTTTTTTTTTTTTTTGTATTATCTTATTGTAATAATGTATTAATATATAAAATATTATATATATGTTCTTGACTAATAAATAATATCGTTTATAACGCGATATGTTAAAATAACTGTCGAGTTTTATGCAAATTTATTTTGTACGTCAAAAGAAATATCCTCATGAGTTAACAGAGTAATTTTTTAAGGCTTTTGTTTTAAAATTTACAGATTTCGCGTATAATAATGTTACGATCCATATGGAAAAGCCAAAAAGTCATGATATACAACTATTTTGGTAAGGTGAAAGGTTTTAACAATTACGATCGGTATATTCCATCGAATATGTCGGAGCAACCTTGCGACATCATCTTATCCACGTGACGCTGTTTTATATTACCACATAATATATGATATTTCTTTTTGAAAAAAAAAAAGATTCGAAAATCTATTTTTGATATACAATAAGACTTTTTGTGAGTAAGCATTCAAGCTCATATCGATACTTGATCAGAATAACGAAGATGATGTGAAACGCCTCATTTAACCTTATTTTTACTACTATATTTAATGTCAGGTTTAGAATTTCTTGTGTTCACTCATCTCTATATTTTGTGCGAATTAATATATTAAGAAGCCTCTTCAATGTTCGGTCTTTTGCCAGCTTCATTATCCAAACATCGTTGATACAGTTTAACATATGTCGCCGGCGTTCTTCCGACTGGACTTTCTCTTTTATTTTCAAGTATTAGGAAGGAAATTCCGAAAATTATTATAGAAGCCCGCTAGAAATCTCCCAAAATAGATTATCAAGTCCATATATATCTGACGATAAAACATTTTGGTTCAATGAACGCTGGTAGCCCAAAATCTGTAGCTCCTGACGATGTAGATGTTGGCTCATTTAATTCTTTTGATAGTCCAAGATTAGAGATCATCATTTTTCCTTGACCCACGAGGATATTAATTAATTCGAATTAAAAAAAAAAAAGTTATAAAGTTTTACCAGATCTCTGTGAATGATTTGTTCCGCGTGTAAACACATTAAACCTCTAGTTATCTCAGTCGCCATTCTAAGCTTATCACCAAGTTGGAAATTTATTTGCGAGATAACTTCGCATCTTTTTCCCATCACCAATTGTAATACCATCACATTTTGTCCATATATACTATATGACATTTGATCTTTATTTTAGATATCAAAGTCAAATTTAATTACGTCTTTAAAATATAAATTTACCTTTTGTTATCCCTAAAGATTGGTTGATAGTACTCTTTCAAAGTAATTTTAATGCCAAAACATAAAATAATATGTAATACATTTCTATCAAAACAAAATAAGTACCTTTTTACGAATTCATTAATGATGTCTTTATCTCAACTTATAACCTTTCTAATGCGTTTTTAATCCACGATTCTTCCATTCGGCTGATATTACTATCACACTAAAACCTCCCTCTCCTATATTTTTTCATTTCGCTAAATTCTCTATAATCAAAATATTTAAAGCTATGTTTGTATATAACCATTCTAAATTTTTGGTTGATAACGTGTTTTTAAAAATTCAAAAGAAAGAGAATTTTTACGCATTTTTGTTGATCAACGGTTAAATGTAATATCGCGAGTTCTCTTATAAGGATAGATTTCCTAAATATGGCATCAAAAAGTATTCATTCCAAGAAAGGAATTTTTCGAGAAGAAATTCGGTAATCTATAAATAGTTATATAAATTCCCAAAAAGAATTTTGTTTTTCTATTCCAATCAATATTTACAAGAATTTTTTTTGTACAATCATGCATATTGTATTTTTAGCATATAGTTAATTTAGAATCATTATGAATTCCATAGCGTGACCAGTTTCTTTATAACGATGATGAAGTGAATATATTGGATATCGTTTGATAATTTCAATGTTTACTTAGAAGTATATTTATTTTTATTTCAAAAAAGAAACTTAACAAAACTATTTTGTCTTATCTCAATAAGTTTTAGAATTACATAATGAGCTAAACTTTTTTTTCAAAAAAAAAAATGTATTAAGATCATTCAAATATTAATTGGATAATTAGATTTATTGCAAAAATTATTGAAAAAAAAATACGAACAATAAATAAATAATATTGTAAAATTTATTAATAAAAGATAGAATGGGCTGCAGACCCTTGGAGAGATTCCGATCCTAGACAAAAATTTTGAAAGTTTTGTAAAGATCGGAATCTCTCTAAGGGCCTGCAGCCCATTCAATTAAACGGTTGTTACCAACACACGAAAAACGTGTCAGGGATAAGTGGTGAAGCTGCATTATCCCAAAGATATTGGTCCTTTCGAACGGACATCACGACCAGCAGTTTTCACCCAATTCGAAGTTGATCCATCACAAGTTTGGGTGACCTATGTAGAATTCTCGTCTTTTCCAGATGTTCAATGGTAAAGCACCACCAAAAAGAGATTCGAGGTTTATCACATTTCGGACCATATTTCGGTTCTTTTGAAATGAGGTGCACTCGTTGATGAACAGGAGGTTTTTCTTCCATTTTTATATAAACGCCAACAATCGAAAGTGTAGGAATGTATGCCTAATGAAATTGGATGTTTAATAAGTTAAGATTTTTACTATCGAGACTTCAAATAAAAATTATTTGCTTACAAATGATTTCTTTATGGTTCTTCTGCATGAGAACAATTGTAAAAATAAAGTAATGTTTATTTATTTATTTTATTATTTATTTATTTTTTTTTTTTTTATAATTTCAACATTTACCAAGAATCCACCTTTAAATATTAAATCAAACCTTTCATTCTTCTCCATATATGATTAAAGCGTTAAAAAGGAAATGTTCGAATGAAATGTTTTATGTTACACGACATGTAAGAAAGTCCTTGAAAGACAATCTTTCGAAAGTGAACTTTATCGCTTTTCCAAATAAGAGCTCATTGATCGACTTAATATTTGCTTACAATACAATGATAATAGGTCGGTGCTTACGGGAATCGATTGTTCAATCTCAAAAAAAGAGTACAGATGTTCAATCCTCGTGAAAACAAAAAAAATTTATCACTTTTAATCGGAAATTCTATTTTTTACTAATTTTGGATAAAATTTCTTGTTCTGTTTCGAAGAAAAATCTGTATTCGTAATCGCGAAATCCGTGAACGGTTGTTCCATGCGCGCAATGCACGAGTAAGATTATAAATGATTAATTGCCTAAAGTTTTCTAAAGTGTTTTTTTGATTTGAAATAATTTCGAATGAAAATTATTTAGATGAATATCGTGCGACAATGATACTACGGATCTCAGCGAACATTGGAATTTATTCTATTTTATATTTAAAAGGAGCACAACTTAATAGCAAAAATTTATGCAAGGACGAAATTCTTTTAATTTGAATAATCTTTAAAAAAAAAAAATGTATTAATAATGAATTTCCCTCAAAGAAATATGACATTCAAGCAACCTTTGTATGTCCGACAAATTTTTTTCACGTGACGCGTGACTTTACAATGCTTGGTCATGTGATAATTTTGTTCAAAATTAGGAACTTTTAATATCATGATGTAAGTTTTGTATTAATATTGTAATATTCTTTATGATGAAATATCCTCGTATAAAAATAATTTTAATTAAAGTGAAAATAGAAGTCAAACAACGGATTATTGTTTATTTAATATAGTAAAAATTATATAAATTTCAAGTTAACAAAAATAAAAAAGCAATTAAAATATAATCAATATATATAATGGTTCATTTTAAAAAAAAATCCAATTATTGAGATTCTGAGTTTAAATCATTATTAGTTTTAACGTGTTTTCCTATTTACATAAAATTGAATATATTATATTAGGTTCTGTGATATAATATAATAATAGTAAAATAATGTTACTTACTATTGACTTGAGATTTAGTTCCTATTTCTTTAAAGTTTCGTTTTCTTGAAGAATTTTCCGTTGAAATAAGTGCATCAAATG